GATAGAGCTATCCAGCATAAATAAAGTTAGTTTAGTTTAGGTTTCTTCCTGTAGTAACACTGGATCAATAAGAGATGTCTCTTACTGGACCTCCAGGAAGAACAGTTTAGAACTGATAGAGCTATCCAGCATAAATAAAGTTAGTTTAGTTTAGGTTTCTTCCTGTAGTAACACTGGATCAATAAGAGATGATCCTTACTGGACCTCTAGGAAGAACAGTTTAGAACTGATAAAGCTATCCAGTATAAATAAAGTTAGTTTAGTTTAGGTTTCCTCCTGTAGTAACACTGGATCAATAAGAGATGATCCTTACTGGACCTCTAGGAAGAACAGTTTAGAACTGATAAAGCTATCCAGTATAAATAAAGTTAGTTTAGTTTAGGTTTCCTCCTGTAGTAACACTGGATCAATAAGAGATGATCCTTACTGGACCTCTATGGAGAACAGTTTAGAACTGATAGAGCTATCCAGTATACATAGAGCTATCCAGTATAAAAGTTAGTTTCGTTTAGGTTTCCTCCTGCAGTAACACTGGATCAATAAGAGACGATCCTTACTGAACCTTTAGGGAGAGCAGTTTAGAACTGATAGAGCTATCTAGTATAAATAAAGTTAGTTTAGTTTAGGTTTCCTCCTGTAGTGACACTGGATCAATAAGAGATGATCCTTACTGGACCTCTAGGAAGAACAGTTTAGAACTGATAGAGCTATCTAGTATAAATAAAGTTAGTTTAGTTTAGATTTCCTCCTGTAGTAACACTGGATCAGTGAGAGAAGATCCTTACTGGACCTCTAGGGAGAACAGTTTAGAACTGATAAAGCTATCCAGTATAAATAAAGTTAGTTTAGTTTAGGTTTCCTCCTGTAGTAATCTACATGGAATGGTTCTTACTGGACCTCTACAAGAAGACTACCTTACTAATACAATAAAACAGCTACGTTATCTGTTTATAAATGGATAAGGGATTCTGGTCTCTACAGTTTGCAAAACGTTAAGGAATGGTTACCTAGGATAATTTCCTCGTCAGTAGCTCGACCACACACTCGCTTACACATCGCCAGGAATTCCTTGAAGTATTGTGAAAGGCGATCATCATTCTTCTTGTCCAAGCGAGCCATTTGTCTTGAAGAGAATAAGAGTCAATTTTGTTATTTTTAGAAGTACTACTGTATCTAAAAAGCTATCAAGGCAAATTAACGATTCTGATTATTTTCCCGACAGCACGTAGAAGGGTTTTGCCGATGGAAAGACCCATGTTCGTCTTAAACCCTAATACAAATTTCATTGACATCAGAAGGAAGGCAGCAGCATGGTGTGTTCATCAACAACAATCAGATAAACGTGACACATGCCTTTTCATCATGTGTCTTTAAAAATAATTCATGCATGAATCAAGGATATACTAGTTCAAATCCGTAGAAACCAACCTAAATTTCGACCAATCATACTCTTGCGTGGTTGGATTGATGTGAACACCGTAAGTCGATACACAACGATAGAAGTCAACTTCTTCGCGTTTTGACCACCTAGATAAGCCAAGGAAGCATGTTTAAGACACATTACACAAGACATGTCATTCGGTAGGCTATCGCTCAGGATATCTTACTTTTGTTTAATTAGGTCCCGTTTACATGGACGAAGTCAAAACGGGACGATTTCATTTTGGTCAGAGTATTATTAATAATAGATGTTTACATAAGACCGGGATGAAAAAAATTGCTCAGACCGCTCTGAAGTCATCTCTTGCTCGCTGGACCGAACCGACTACAGTATCTTCAGACCGGGATGAATAGGCAATTATAGTACAGACTAAATTTTGATCTAGGCAAGAAGAACAAAATCCATCACCACAGCTAGAAAGAGCATGTTAAAATTAGTAAAATTGCAAAGTTTGGCTGCGAAATGTTGTAAAATGCGGAAAACATAGCCCTGCGAAATTTGCAAATTTTGTATTAATTTGTATTACGCGCGGGAAAATGCACCACATTTGGGCCGAAAGTAATAATTAATACAAAACTTGCAAATTTCGTAGGGCTATATTTTCCTCATTTTACAACATTTCGCAACTACTCTTTGCAATTTTACTAATTTTAACATGCTCTTTCTAGCTGTGGTGATGGATTTTCCATTCAGTGCAAAATGTCGCACTTTCTTTTGAAATGTGTGCAGTCAACTGCAGCTAATGAGATTTGTTCCACTTGGCTGTTTGTATTTCACAAGAAAGCGATCGCAAAAAGTCGATCGCGCGACATTTTGCACTGAATGCACGAAATCCGCTACTCAAACAGTCGTAAAAGCTTTCTGGAAAATTATTGTTTTGTTGGGTGCATTACACAGCGATAGTGAGGCTTGAGAACAAAGACATCAGAAGGAAGGCAGCAACATGGTAGGTTCATCACAACAATCAGATAAACGTGACACATGCCTTTTCATCATGTGTCAAAGCCCCAGGAACCTAAAATACGAACTTACTTTTGAGCTTGTTCTGCTTTCTTTAATTCTTTCTGCCTCACAGCTTCCTCGACTTTTTCCTTTCGTCGATTTTCCTAAACCAACAAAATAAAGCTTTAATTTCAGGAGAACGTCAACTGCAACAGTAGCCTGCAATGGTTACTTCTGGATGGAACTGACAGAACTATCCAGTATCAATAAAACTAGTTTAGTTCAGGTTTCACCCTGCAGTAACACTGGAGACGATCCTTACTGGACCTCTAGGAAGAACAGTTTAGAACTAATAGAGCTATCCAGTATAAATAAAGTTAGTTTAGTTTAGGTTTCCTCCTGTAGTAACACTGGATCAATAAGAGATAATTCTTACTGGACCTCTAGGAAGAACAGTTTAGAACTAATAAAGCTATCCAGTATAAATAAAGTTAGTTTAGTTTAGGTAATTCCTCCTGTAGTAACACTGGATCAATAAGAGATTATCCTTACTGGACCTCTAGGAAGAACAGTTTAGAATTGATAGAGCTATCCAGTATAAATAAAGTTAGTTTAGTTTAGGTTTCCTCCTGTAGTAACACTGAATCAATAAGAGATGATCCTTACTGGACCTCTAGGAAGAACAGTTTAGAACTGATAGAGCTATCCAGTATAAATAAAGTTAGTTTAGTTTAGGTTTCCTCATGTAGTAACACTTGATCAATAAGAGATAATCCTTACTGGACCTCTAGGAAGAACAGTTTAGAACTGGTAGAGCTATCCAGTGTAAATAAAGTTAGTTTAGTTTAGGGTTTCCTCCTGTAGTAACACTGGATCAATAAGAGATGATCCTTACTGGACCTCTAGGAAGAACAGTTTAGAACTGATAGAACTATTCAGTATAAATAAAGATCGTTTAGTTTAGTTTAGGTTTCCTCATGTAGTAACACTTGATCAATAAGAGATGATCCTTACTGGACCTCTAGGAAGAACAGTTTAGAATTGATAGAGCTATTCAGTATAAGTAAAGTTAGTTTAGTTTAGGTTTCCTCCAGTAGTAACACTGGATCAATAAGAGATGATCCTTACTGGATCTCTAGGGAGAACAGTTTAGAACTGATAGACTATCCAGTATAAATAAAGTTAGTTCAGTTCAACATTTACAATTGATATAACCAGTCCTATCACCCACCTTCTCTACTGCTACTCGTTTCAGCTCTTCTTTCCTCAAAATGCGCTGAAATCCGGCGACAATTCTCCGCAGTCTGGTATTGAGGTCCGACGGTGATGGCCAAGGAAGGAAATTGGAGGTAGAAGCAGGGTTAGTTTGAGAACCTGAAGAACAGTAGAATACAAATTTGAATGGTTTCTGTAGATGAAAATTACGAGTGTAAATTTTATACATTGATTAGAATAGTTCCAAAAATTGCAACTATAGGCTCTCTGCAAGGTCGGATTTTGGTGGAAATAGTGGGGAAAGTGGAAAAAATTAAGGGGAGGTGCAGCGGTCTAGCTCACGACCCCCATGGAAAGTTAGGGCTTAGAACAGGCAAAATCAACCATGTGACGTATGCGTGTAGTGTACATATGTATCAGTGTATTAATGAATTATGACTGTACAACTCATCCAATTTTGCTCTTCATTACAATTACTACAAAGTTTCTTTCAAATCATTGCATTAAATGGGTACTTGACACACAGATGAATGGCTATCACTGTTTCAGTTTTACAAAGAAAACGTTCTCACGCAGTGTAGACAACCTAAGCAACCAAAAAATATCAAATTTTCACTTTGATCTATCATTGAAACTTTCCCAAGGGCAGGTGCAAAACGATCTCAGGGGAGGTGGCGCACTTCCCCACAAAATCCGGCCATGGCTCTCTGGCTGGAATTGAAGCTGCGATTCCAGTGCAGCGCTCTAGGTATAAGCCATAGTCTCCATAGGTATAGAGCGAGAGTTTAACATTTCTTTACCTTCCACAACTGGTGGTGGTTTTTCGACCTTTACTTCTTCTTTAACAACAGGACGAGATTCCTTCAAATGAAAGAAAAGTAACGTGAACACAAGTTTTTAACAGTGCCACCAAGCATAGATTGTAACAAGGCACAACACTTTGATCAGTCGTTAATTTTCATCCGTAGAATATCAGTAGTCTAACATGTGAAAACATCATATCAAAGTGCGAAGATAATTATTTACAGGGTTTAAAATAGCAGCCGGCTGTCGGCGGCATTTTCATATTGCTAGCTGGCGACTTTTAAATTAGAAATGCAGAGTTGTTCTCCGTAATCAGTTAATCTTTACGATTATTTTATAGGTTTTTAATTAAAAAAAGATTCCGTCTTGACATAAAATACTTTCTGCGAGTGATGGGAACGGCGGGAGTCGTATGGAAATCATTAATCATTGTCCAGCATAATTCATATAAAAGAGCAACGCATAATTTATATGATCTATTTTTGTTGCCAATTTGTAATTTTTCTGTCAAACTTGATTGGAAACTTAAATTCAATCTGTGTCCTTGGTATTAAAAGGCATGCGTCTTTGTTCATGGCGAGGTATTTTCCGCACATTCGTAGTCAGATGTTAGTAATATTCATGTTCGCCATATCAGAGACTGAAAGCTGAAAAAAGTCGTCGGTACAAAAAAGGTACATGTACCAAACAGCCTACAAATATATCAAAACATTTATTTTAAACCATGTAATAACATCAAACAAACAAATTAGGCAACAAACAAAGATGCAAGTACTTTTCCTTCCATGTCAAAATCGACATCATCATCGGATTCCACATCCTCATTTTTTCTGTCTTGAGGTAACTGATAGTCAGGGTCATCATTGTTTTCGTCCTCTTCCCTGCGAGAGAAACGAAGTTAAGCTGGTTCACACCAGCAATGGACCATTTGCATTATAGACTAAATTTTGATCTAGACAAAAATTTCATCACAGCTTGAAAGAGCATCACAAAATTAGTAATATTCCAAAGTTTCGTTGCGAAATGTTGTAAAATGCGGATAATATAGCCATGCTAAGTTTGCCGTTTTTCAGTCATTTTGTATTACGCACGGGAAATTGACAGCCCAATCGGGTGTTGGGGCTGTCAATTTCCCGTTTGTAATACAAAATGACTGAAAATTGCAAATTTCGCATGGCTATATTATCCGCATTTTACAACATTTCGCAACGAAACTTTGAAATATTACTAATTTTGTGATGCTCTTTCAAGCTGTGATGAAATTTTTGTCTAGATCAAAATTTAGTCTATAATGCAAATGTCCATTCTATCGGGGATTTTTCTTCTCCTGGTAAATGTGATTGAATGAATGAGATGCAAAAGACTTAGTGTTGTTTACTTCTGAAAAGCGACTCTATATTTTTGTGTACGAGTTCACTCATTTACATCCGTTAGAAAAACAAAATCGCCGAAGAAATTGCCAGTGTGAAGCAGGCTTTAAAGGATAGTTTTTGCTGGTGGGTTGAGGAAATAATCGACAAGACAGAAGTTGTTTACTTTGCATCTATATTGTCTCAAAATGATGTGACCTTGACCCCAGGGCCCCTATGGATACCAGCAATTGTGCTGAATGGGCTACCCTGTTGAAACAAAGTGTTCTTATCTTTTAACAAGCATATATAAGGCTTAGGATTGACCATTGTTTTAGCCACATGATATAGTTAAGCTGGATAAAGTTTTAATCAAGTATTAAATGAGACATGTTTCACTACTTTGGTTTAAGTGGAGTAAATGTATAATGTAATCCCCAAAGTTACATTCACGATCCAACGTTTCAATACTCCAGTCTAGTTTCTTCATGCAACCGAGTATAATATCAGACATGTTTTGCTACTCTGGTTTAAGTAAATGAATGTAATCCCCAAACGAGTTACATTCACTAGATCCAAAGTTTCAATACTCCAGTCTAGTGTCTTCATGCAACCGAGTATAATATCAGACATGTTTTGCTACTCTGGTTGAAGTAAATGAATGTAATTCACGATCCAACGTTTCAAGTTTCAAGTTTCAACACTTCAACCCGGTGTCTTCATCAGAGGAAATCCAAGTTTACAACGAGTTAAATAACTGGCCAATAATGAGGCGATACTCTTGTGACAAACAGCGACGGTCATCCCTATGACAATACCTTGGCCACGCTTTTAAACGTGCATCCAACGATTAATTAAACTTGGTGGTTTGTTTTCAAACAGGCGAAAGCGATCAACTCTTCAACGCGTGTTAATATTGAAACTTTTCTCAATGTCTTACCTTAATCCTTCTCCATCAATGGCGTCACCAGTGGTTGCTTCATCAGATGACGTAGGAGGACCACATTTCTTGAGGAAGATCAAACATGGGTCCGCTCTGATCGCATTGTAGCGTTCATAACCTGGAATACGACAAATACTTTATAGCTTGGCAAGAGATCCAATGAACTGATTTATGTTTATTTGTGACACCCAATTTACTCGCATATATAATTTAAATGCTTGGCTACCTTTGTTCCATTCTATGCCTACATTATCAGAACAGTGGTAACTAGGCATGTGAGTTATCAATTCACTCACATATATAATTTAAATGCTTGGTTACCTTTGTTCCATTCTATGCTTACATTATCAGAACAGTGGTAACTAGGCATGTGAGTTATCAATTCACTCATATATATAATTTAAATGCTTGGTTACCTTTGTTCCATTCTATGCTTACATTATCAGAACAGTGGTAACTAGGCATGTGAGTTATCAATTCACTCACATATATAATTTAAATGCTTGGTTACCTTTGTTCCATTCTATGCTTACATTATCAAAACAGTGGTAACTAGGCATGTGAGTTATCAATTCACTCACATATATAATTTAAATGCTTGGTTACCTTTGTTCCATTCTATGCTTACATTATCAGAACAGTGGTAACTAGGCATGTGAGTCATCCCACCCAATTCACTCACATATATAATTTAAATGCTTGGTTACCTTTGTTTCATTCTATGCTTACATTATCAGAACAGTGGTAACTAGGCATGTGAGTTATCAATTCACTCACATATATAATTTAAATGCTTGGCTACCTTTGTTCCATTCTATGCCTACATTATCAGAACAGTGGTAACTAGGCATGTGAGTTATCAATTCACTCACATATATAATTTAAATGCTTGGTTACCTTTGTTCCATTCTATGTTTACATTATCAGAACAGTGGTAACTAGGCATGTGAGGTATCAATTCACTCACATATATAATTTAAATGCTTGGTTACCTTTGTTCCATTCTATGCTTACATTATCAGAACAGTGGTAACTAGGCACGTGAGTTATCAATTCACTCACATATATAATTTAAATGCTTGGTTACCTTTGTTCCATTCTATGCTTACATTATCAGAACAGTGGTAACTAGGCATGTGAGTTATCAATAATTCACTCATATATATAATTTAAATGCTTGGTTACCTTTGTTCCATTCTATGCTTACATTATCAGAACAGTGGTAACTAGGCATGTGAGTTATCAATTCACTCACATATATAATTTAAATGCTTGGTTACCTTTGTTCCATTCTATGCTTACATTATCAGAACAGTGGTAAATAGGCATGCGAGTTATCAATTCACTCGCATATAATTTAAATGCTTGGTTACCTTTGTTCCATTCTATGCTTACATTATCAGAACAGTGGTAACTAGGCATGTGAGTTATCAATTCACTCACATATATAATTTAAATCTTGGTTACCTTTGTTCCATTCTATGCTTACATTATCAGAACAGTGGTAACTAGGCATGTGAGTTATCAATTCACTCACATATATAATTGAAATGCTTGGTTACCTTTGTTCCATTCTATGCTTACATTATCAGAACAGTGGTAACTAGGCATGTGAGTGTTATCAATTCACTCACATATATAATTCAAATGCTTGGTTACCTTTGTTCCATTCCATGCTTACATTATCAGAACAGTGGTAACTAGGCATGTGAGTTATCAATTCACTCACATATATAATTCAAATGCTTGGTTACCTTTGTTCCATTCTATGCTTACATTATCAGAACAGTGGTAACTAGGCATGTGAGTTATCAATTCACTCACATATATAATTCAAATGCTTGGTTACCTTTGTTCCATTCTATGCTTACATTATCAGAACAGTGGTAACTAGACATGTGAGTTATTCCACCCAATTCACTCACATATATAATTTAAATGCTTGGTTACCTTTGTTCCATTCTATGCTTACATTATCAGAACAGTGGTAACTAGGCATGTGAGTCATCCCACCCAATTCACTCACATATATAATTTAAATGCTTGGTTACCTTTGTTTCATTCTATGCTTACATTATCAGAACAGTGGTAACTAGGCATGTGAGTTATCCCACCTAATTCACTCACATATATAATTTAAATGCTTGGTTACCTTTGTTCCATTCTATGCTTACATTATCAGAACAGTTGTAACTAGGCATGCGAGTAATTTGGGAAAGGAAATTCGGTAGGAATTGGGATAAACATGTGTTGATTATGTTGATATTCATGTTTACTTACGTTTACGAGCATCGATTGCATAAAGATTACATTTATCGATAATTCTCTGAATTTCGTCATGCCACAACTCAGCAGAAGGATCGTCTGTTTTCTAAGAAACAACACAGAAACAGATTTGTTGGCACCCATAACAGTCACAGTCACCAAAATGTTTGTTGCAAAGGTTTAGATATTCATTTTACATGTACAAATGTATTTATGCCTCTCTATTTAACATTTTAAGTTCGAAATTTTAGCTGATCTAAATTTATCATTTATCGATCTTTACTAATGCATTTATTCATTTAAATTATCTTTATTTATTTATTTATTTAAATCATTTTAATTTGTTTTAATTTGTTTACCTTTCGCGCTTTCTTTACTCTCTACAACAAATATTTAACATCAGAAACATTAACTACTATCGTAAAAAATTAGAATTACTTTTAAATTAGGAAAAGTTTTAGGTTTAATCTTAAGGCATTGTTCCTGCAATATACAGTTGTGTTATTACAATTTCCCGTCAATTACATGTGAGAAAAGTGCTTCCAAACACCGCTTCCACAAGATTGCTCCAGTAATGATGCTAGATCAACGCGAGACGGTTCTATGGACCTCTACCGCGAACATTTTAGAACTGATAGAGCTATCCAATATAAATAAAATTAGTTTAGCTTAGGTTTCTTCCTGTAGTAATACTGGATCAATAAGAGATGATCCTTACGGGATCTCTAGGGAGAACAGTTTAGAACTGATAGAGCTATCCAGTATAAATAAAGTTAGTTTAGTTTAGGTTTCCTCCTGTAGTAATACTGGATCAATAAGAGATGATCCTTACGGGATCTCCAGGGAGAACAGTTTAGAACTGATAGACCTATCCAGTATAAATAAAGTTAGTTTAGTTTAGGTTTCCTCCTGTAGTAACACTGGATCAATAAGAGATGATCCTTACTGAACCTCTAGGAAGAACAGTTTAGAACTGATAGAGCTATCCAGTATAAATAAAGTTAGTTTAGTTTAGGTTTCCTCCTGTAGTAATACTGGATCAATAAGAGATGATCCTTACTGGACCTCTGGGAAAACAGTTTAGAACTGATAGAGCTATCCAGTATAAACTTTGGATTCCAAGCCTCATTCAGGGGGGGGGGGGAGGGACGTACCTTCTTTTTCTCCTGTTTCTCAGCATAAAGCAATGCTTGATACAGGAGAGCATTTTCCGGAAGTATATTTTTCAGTTTCGCGGGATCTTGTTGTAATGACGTCAGAGTAGCTGCTGGATTGTCTTCCTCGATGGTCCTGTTGATCGCCTGCACAGCGGTAATTACTACAAAAATTATGAAACGTCATGTTACCTGTTTCGCGAGACTCCCTCGTTTCTAAGCAGTATGCAACTATGCAACACAATAGAATTGTAATGTTATTAAGCTCATATGATGGCTGCTATGAATGTGGTCGACCTGGACAATAGAATAAGAAAATTAGGGAACTTGATGCAGACATACTAGACCTCATTATCTATATTTTTGTCTTGGTTCAACAAAATGGTTGGTTCATCGTCACGTGTGTATTGTATTTTCGCCAGAGCAACCAATAACTATGTTTTCACTTAAAGTGTGACTTACTCCAAATATGATTTTTTGTATGTGTAATATTTGGGTCATTCTAAGAAGAAATGTAATGTATCTTTATAGTAAAAAACCTCATCTTGATCAACTTTTTCACTGTCAAGTTCCAGATATGATGTCATTAGGTGAATTTTTGGTACAAAAAAAACAAAGGAAAACTAATTTGCAATTCACCTAATGACATCATATCCACAAACTTTGGCCGCAGTGAAAAAGTTGGTCAAGATGGGATTTTTTATTATAAAGATGTATTACATTTCTACTTCGAATGACCCAAATATTACACATACAAAAAATCATATTAGTGGTTAGTCGCACGTTAACCATTGTGTAATATCACGACTGGGTAATTAAACCAACACACTGCTATTAGTTGGTTGTGCGAAAATACAATACACACGTGACGATGAACCAACCATTTCGTGCATAAACCAAGAGATGAACAACATAGATAACGAGGTCTGTTACGGCTGCATCGAGTTCCCTAACCTTCTTAATTTATTGACTATGACTTGAGAAATGTTGACAGCTTTTAAAATCATGAAATTTAAACTAAATCTCTCTCATTCACCACCATTTAAGACAACTATATATAATAAAAGAATACACCCTTCTGGATGATAAGTCACTTTGGCTAGGGCATCGTTTTTGTGTATGTGACATTAGTTAAAAGCCCAACGTCTCAATGATGAGAATGAGGCTTTATAGTGGAGCCGAGGCTAAGTCCGGAAAGGTGTATATTAACATAAACATTATTTTCTCACTCTGATAACGGTCCCTTGACCATCATCTGCGGCCTGATAGTGCTTTGTGACGTATAACTCGCAAGAATAATTTGTGCCCTTTTATTAGGCTAGTATTGATTTTTGACAAGGCCTCATATTACATAATTTGATTTTTAATGAAATTTACAAAAGTACACATGAGAATAATTGAAATGTTTATAGTTTTACAAATGTATTAGCAAAAGTTAGCAGTGTTGTAGAACTACTACACAGACTTAGAAACACACACAGCAGACTTGTAGCAATGCTGTTCTAACAACTTGTCAACAGGATGTGTTCGCACTGCTTGTTCCCAGCTTGTTGACAACTTGCTACAAGGTTGTTGAGCTCAACAGGCTTGTTACAAGTTGTTCCAACAACTTGTTATCATCCTGCAATTCCACAATTTGTCCACAAGTTGTGAGTGACAACCTTGTAGCAACTTGTTGACAAGCTTGCTACAAGCCTGTTGCGAACACATCTTGTTGACAAGTTGTGAGATTTTTACTTGACCTCCAGGGATAACAGTTTAGAACTATCAAGTAAAATTAAAGTTAGTTTACTTTGGTTTGTCTAAAAGGTGTCCCTATTTCTTGAGGTAACTAATCTTCCGTTTCAAAACAGCATCAGTCGTTTTTACTTTCTTGTTCCGAGCGTGAAAATCGTTGAATAGTTTCGTTTTTCGTATTTGCAAGAATTCCTTGTAACTTATTGCTCCGTCGTTGTTCCGATCCAGTAACGTAATGAGCCGACGGATCTCGTCGTTAGTCATCGGAAGTCCAGTTCGTTTGAGCCCAGCCATGATCTCGTCATGGGTGACGTAATTGTTGTTATCTCTGTCCAACAATTTGAACATATCGTACATGCGCATTCCTCGCATCTCAATGTACTCGAGGAGCAGGTTGAGAAGGTCCTGGGAACGAATGGAAAAGTTGATTAGTTTAAGCATGGTTAGATCATGCAGAGGTAGTACATGTTCTTGAATGTGGGCTGCCTTAAAGTGATCTGATTTTGTACAGAACTCACTGCTGAGTTAAGCATGGTTAGATCATGCAGAGGTAGTACATGTTCTTGAATGTGGGCTGCCTTAAAGTGATCTGATGTTGTACAGAACTCACTGCTGAGTTAAGCATGGTTAGATCATGCAGAGGTAGTACATGTTCTTGAATGTGGGCTATCTTAAGTGATCTGATGTTGTATAGAACTCACTGCTGAGTTAAGCATGGTTAGATCATACAGAGGTAATACATGTTCTTGAATATGAGCTATCTTACAGTGATCTGAAGTTGTACAGAACTCATTGCTGAGTTAAGCATGGTTAGATCATGCAGAGGTAGTACATGTTCTTGAATGTGACCTACCTTAAGTGATCTGATGTTGTACAGAACTTGCTGCTGAGTTAAGCATGGTTAGGTCATGCAGAGGTAGTACATGTTCTTGAATGTGAGCTGCCTTAAAGTGATCTGATGTTGTACAGAACTTACTGCTGAGTTAAGCATGGTTAGGTCATGCAGAGGTAGTACATGATCTTGAATGTGAGCTACCTTAAAGTGATCTGATGTTGTACAAAACTCACTGCTGAGTTAAGCATGGTTAGATCATGCAGAGGTAGTACATGTTCTTGAATGTGGGTTACCTTAAAGTGATCTGATGTGGTACAGAACTCACTGTTGAATGTTGAGTTAAGCATGGTTAGATCATGCACAGGCAGTACATGTTCTTGATTGTGGGCTACCTTAAAGTGATCTGATGTTGTACAAAACTTACTGCTGAGTTAAGCATGGTTAGATCATGCAGAGGTAGTGCATGCTTTTAGATCTATGTTATACAGCACGCATGTGAATGGAATTAAGCCTCTCTTGTGTTCTATTTCACTAAATAAAAATACCAAATTGAACGTTAACAGAGTATGGGTAATCTGAGGAAACACTGATGTCCTATCCACATAGACTTAGACTTTTATCCACAATATTAAAACAAAACCTACCCTCTTTTTCTTGTTTTTCTTCGTCCGATCCTTGCCTCGCAATTTCGTTCCACATTGAACCATCATATCAGGACACGAAATAATTATTTCATCTAAAGCATCTTCGAATGCTTTAATCACTGGCATATCATCAAAATAAAACTCCCGGGCCTGTCCCTCTTCATTCCCCACGGCAGCTTTCACTATTTCCAAAGCCACATTCCATCTGAACTGGTTCTTTCCGAGCCTCAAAACCTGTAGAGTCGTATTCACAGAAAGCGCCTTGACCAACTCGCGTGCGCCTCGCGTTGTAATTCTATTGCTCGTCAAGTCTAATTCTTTTAACGTATCATTAACCATCAACGCCTCACAGATTGCCTTTGTACCTTCGTCGCCGAAACCGTTCCAAGACAAATCTAGCGCTTTCAAAGAACAGTTGTGTCTTAACGATTCCCCAATTACCTCGGCGCCCCGTCCGCGAATGTTATTCCAGCTTAAATCAAGTATTTCGAGACCGACGTTATCCCGGATCGCAGGCCCCATCAGCAATCCAGCCACCGAATCGAAACTGTTACCACTCAGGTTTAAAATTTTCAGGGTAAAATTCTCCCTCAGCGTTTCGACGAAAGGTTCAAAATCTTTCTCCTTGAAGTCGTTCGAAGACGCGTTCAACTCTACCAAATCCGTGTTGTCCCGTAGCATTTCGCAAACGGCGTACGCTCCTTGCGTTCCGAGCGCATTCTGTGAAATATCAAGACCAGAAATGAAACAGTTCTCGGTCAATAACTTCGACAGATACACCGCTCCTTCGCCACCGATTGCATTATCAGAGATATTAAGAGTTAAAACGTTCGTATTTTTCATCAAAGCGATCGCAATTGCCTCACAGCCAACAGGGCCGACGTTATAGTGGCTAATATTGACATCTTCCTGATCCAGCTGTCGTAAAAATGGCGAACAGGGAATGATGTTGAGGTCTTCGCATACTTTAAGGTAGACTTTCCTTCCGCTAATGTCGTATTTTTCAGCGCGTTTCGATTCTTCTTCTAAATCCGTATCATAATCATTGTCACTTTCCTCTTCAATCGGCGGATTAAACTGTTCTTCATCGGATAGAACTATTTCTTCGTATTCAACGCTTTGAACATGTCTCACAGGACCAATCACGGCTTCCTCTTCCTTCTCGGCCGAGCCGTTCATTTTGTTTACCTTGCAAAGTTTCTCAAAACTTCACTTGGCTAATTGATGCTCTTGGCTCTCTGAATCGTCTTATCTTGTTGAGCACACTAATTTTGAATGCATAAAATGCTTGTGTTCGGTTGATGTTTTACTTCACAATTGCCAAAACAACTTTATGTATAAAGTTGATTTAGCATAAAACAACTTCGCTGCGATTTCAGCTCTTTCGTGTTTACAAGAACCGTTAAATGGTCCCTTTTAACAGTTTTTTAAAACAGCTTTTCGTTAATAAAGCGCTTCACTCTTTAAAATCCAAATTAAATAAGTTTTCTCGTGTTTGAATTGTCTTAAACACACATACGTAAACTAAAACACCAGACTGTGTTGCCATAGCAAAAAACATGGAGCAAACTTAAACAGCGCCGCACGAAATTAAAACACTAATAAAGAGACATATGCAATTTTCTTGACAAAAAACCGCGTAAAATACACCATTTACCTTGTGCTATTGTAATATCATGTCTACTATAATTGCATGCATTGGAGATTATTATTGAAAATATCTTGGAATTAGATATAGTTATTTAAAAACTCCTAAAAATTTCTTAATGAATAACGGCTATACCAGTGAAAAACCCCTGAAAACCTCAAATTAAAACTGAGCTTAAACTCGACGTGTGACTTTATAATAGAGTGAAAAGCGTTTCTTTTATAAGCTCTCGACTTTGCATTGAATATTATTAAGAAAAACACCTGCACGTTGTTCGTTTCAATAATTAATAAGCTAGCAACTGAATAAACAGGTTGAGGTTTTCGCGATAAAGCACACAGAAACAAATTTCCATGTTTAAAAAAAGCCAAAGGTTGTATAGTGTATTGAGGAGGGGGGCATGAGGGTCGAAGCCCCCCCCCCACCCTATATTTCGGCAGATTGCAATAACATAAAACCTCCTTTGGAATTCTAATAATTTTAGCTGAAAATAACTTTCATCCTTTGATTCAAAATATTTAAAAATGTTTGCCAAAAGTTTGTTCGAAAAATTTGCCAGAAGAACTGGGAGATATTTCATATGTGGAATAAATTAAAACTTGATTAGTATGCTGACGTATTCGATATTTTTCTCGCAATTTTAAAAAAATTCTTCTTTTTTACAAAATTCTTTTTTACATTTATATACACATACTAATCATACCAATCTAATTTTATTTTCTAGCATATAGACATTTGTTTGTTTTTAACATCTCAAAAGCCTTCTCCTATAGAAGAATTACTTTCAGAGTATTTTACAATTTATACATATATCTTTCTTTCTTTTGGTCGAATTTTGTCCGGAATTAAAAGCAGGCAAATTTGATACATGCTTTCTTCGTTTGTAAGCTTATCATGAAAAGTCAGAATCAATGAAGTCTGGAAAGCGTTAATGGCAAAAACAGGCGCGATCGAACCATAGTTCTGTTCAGGGCACAACTCTGCTTCCCCGTAAATGTTTACTGAAACTGAGGAATACTGCGCTAAGAATGACTCAAAGTATGACACACTTACAGGCATGTTCCTCAGACACCTCTGTATTCACATAATCAATACACAACTGCAGTTCAACCTGGTTCAAGTCATCCTTCCCCTGACCACAATCCTAGAAATTCAAAGTAAATACAAAGTTAGTTTAGGTTTCCTCCTGTAGTAACACTGGAGGCAATGATCCTTACTGGACCTCTAGGAAGAACAGTTTAGAACTGATAGAGCTATCCAGTATAAATAAAGTTAGTTTAGGTTATGTAATCTCATAAAGTAACACTGGATCTCTAGGAGAGAACAGTTTAGAACTGATAGAGCTATCCAGTATAAATAAAGTTAGTTTATAGGTTTCCTCCTGTCGGACCTCTAGGGAGAACAGTTCAGAACTGATAGAGCTATCAAGTACAACTACAGTTAGATTAGTTTATAGGTTTCCTCCAGAAGTAACACTGGATCAATAAGAGATGATCCTTACTGGACCTCTAGGGAGAACAGTTTAGAACTGATAGAGCTATCCAGTATATTAAATAAAGTCAGTTTAGCAACGCCAACCTGTCCTTTTTCTTTCTTTACGGCAACCAACTGTTCCAGATATCTGTTCACAGCGTCGTCTTCGATATTCTCAAGTTTGGCTGACTCATGTTTCAGACATTTCCACAGCTCAGAGGCATTGCCTTGTTCAATTGCTTGATTAATACTAGCAATGGCTGTTAACACTAGAATACAGCAAAAAGGCGGATAAGGTGTTGGTGCTATATAGTAGTCAGCGCATGTGTGTTTCAGTTCTGTGACCGGAGTTCAATTCCTGCAATATACAGTTGTCTGATTATAATTTCACCTCAGTCACATGTGAGAAAAATGCTTTGCAACGTACCTTTGATATGTTCCGTGACCTCGCCATGTGTTAGGTTAGCTGAATGACCACTCTAAAACACAAAGATCCCATTAATATGTACATCGGTAAAAATATATTATTTCATTTCCATTTCATTCAACAGCTTTAAGTTGGCACATAGATAACTTGAGAATATTGCACATAGCTGACACAGATAATTACATTGAACACGAATATGGAGATTAGTAACCATAGAAGGTGCCAAATTAACGTGGCGAAACACAAACGAAGTCCCATGCATGGTGCACACCACTAGATGTGATAGTATAGGAGAGCAAGAGAAATGGAAGGTGAATGGAAAACTAGAAGCACAGAAGAGAGAAGTGGTAGAACGAATGACCTCGAAGATATTAGTTAGTCGTGATCAACAAGTGTGAGCTATTAGCAGCTAGTTGCAGGAACGTCTTGTGTAGGTATGATTTAAAGGTGTAGAAAGTGTCGTAGCAGTTGGAAGGAGTAAATTGACATACATAGTTCCACAATTTTCCATTCTATAAACGAAGTAAGAAAAACATATATTTCGCGAGCTCACTAATAATTCATGCGCAAAACACACAGGAAGCCAGCACCTATCGTTGTCTTGATACCATGGATAATAAAATAAATGGATAGGAAACTAGCTGACGTGACCTACTGTTTTCAATGGGCTGATGGCGTGATTGGATGTTGAAACCTAGTTGCAAACCAAATTCTCAAAAACGGCATGTTTAGCATTAATACAGCTGAACATTTTAGTCAAAGAGCAAATGAATATAACTACGCCATTCTACGATGAAATCTCTAAGTATTCCCAGTCAATTTTAGCAAATATTTCAAGCACTAAACAGTGAAAAAGGCATCCCAAATTTCGTTAAAATTGGGGACGCCAATTTCGTAGCTACAAATGTAAAAAAATACAAAACAAAGACGAAAAAACATTTACCTTGAATACTTTGTCGTGGCTTAAGCATGTTTTTTAAACAATTAGACCAGTATATGCTTCAATATTACTCTTTTAAAGCGGAAAGTATAGCGAAACAACAAAATGCCGAGAACTTTGCAATACGCGTGACGTCACAGATTGCAACTAGGTTGTCTTTGCTTACGTCAGCTAGAGTCCTATCCATTTATTTTATTATCCATGTTGATACGAAGCTAATAAACGCCCATATATTAATTAACTCAATTTTCGTGTTAAATTTCTCTTTAAATACTGGTTTGTTTCGGAGATGATTATATCGTGCAGTGAAAGTCCTTGATATTATACAAGTCCTTATAATGAGTGCATGGGTGTTGGCGGTCACGCAAACTTGGTGAGCTGTTCCTAATGCTTTCCAAACACTATCATGTATTCTGTTTAAGTTAAAACATAGTTGGAACACTCGTCAAACCTTTATTTTGTCAATTTAGAGCTTGAAATGTCCACTGTAACAATGCGTGACAGCCAGCTTTCATCCTCGCGTTTATCTTGAGCTTAACTTAAAGCCCAATAGTTTGATTGCACGAGAGTTGGCAGGCACACAACCTTGGATATAGCTGTGCTGTTTTTTATGCTTTTCCAACACTATCATGTACTCTATTTATAAGTTAAAATATAGTTGGAACACTCATCAAACCGTTGTTTTGTTAATGTAGAGCTTGAAATGTCTCCTGTGACAATTCATGAACTCTCATCCTCGTTTAACAGGTGTTTAAAACACTTCAAAGTAAGTTTAAAAACTTGGCGAGCGAACACACTTGTTTCTGAACACAAGTTTGTCAGTATCTTTCGGACCTTTTCCCCGTACATTATATTTCATAAAATGATACCAAAGCTTCATCCCTGCGCTTCAAATTTTACTCGCAATGTGCACAATATGCCTACCTGCTGTTTTTTCTTCTTTTCCTTGCTCAACTCATTGTAATAAAGATACGCACTACGGTTGAGAACAGTTGGCAACAATGCTTCGGGTTTCATCAACAAGCTATGACATTCGTACACGTTTCCCGCCTCCAAAGCTTTGTTTAAAGATTTCATTATTGTTTCCACTGAAATAAAATGCATGTTCATTGATACTTGGTCAAGAAACGTGCACTGAAAATATTATATTGTGCGCAAAGTAGCTTATATTTTATTTTTGTGTTCAATATATAAACCACAGTAGGACTTTTTTAATGTGTTTATTACATCAACAAACGTTTCGGAGATTCACTCCATCTTCAGGTAGTAAAAAGTTTACAAATTGTAATATTATAACGTCGTTTGTTAATGTAATAAAAACATTTAAAAAAGTCTTACTCTGGTCTATATATTGAACACAAAATATACTATTAACATGAGACTTAGGGAAAGTTCGTTCCTAAACATTTATATTTTATTGTGAACTTATTGTGAACTATTTTTTTCCGCACTTTACTGGATCGAAACTGAATATTTGGGGAGTATAGATGGATAGTCCATGTGAGCATACTGTACTTCTGCCATTTGAAATGGGAGTTCTGCCATTTGAAAAGGCCGTTTTGCCATTTGAAAAGGGAGTTTTGCTATTTGAAAAGGGAGTTTTGCCATTTGAAAAGGGAGTTTTGCCATTTGAAAAGGGAGTTTTGCTATTTGAAAAGGGAGTTCTGCTATTTGAAAAGGGAGTTCTGCTATTTGAAAAGGGAGTTCTGCTTTTGAAAAGGGAGTTCTACTATTTGAAAAGGGAGTTCTGCTATTTGAAAAGGGAGTTCTGCCATTTGAAAAGGGAGTTCTGCTATTTGAAAAGGGAGTTCTGCTATTTGAAAAGGAAGTTCTGCTATTTAAAAAGGGAGTTCTGCTATTTGAAAAGGGAGTTTTGCTATTTGAAAAGAGAGTTCTGCTATTTGAAAAGAGAGTTCTACTATTTGAAAAGGGAGTTCTGCTATTTGAAAAGGGAGTTCTGCTATTTGAAAAGGGAGTTCTGCTATTTGAAAAGGGAGTTCTGCCATTTGATAAGGGAGTTCTGCTATTTGAAAAGGGAGTTCTGCTATTTGAAAAGAGAGTTCTGCTATTTGAAAAGGGAGTTCTGCTATTTGAAAAGGGAGTTCTACTATTTGAAAAGAGAGTTCTGCTATTTGAAAAGGGAGTTATGCCATTTGAAAAGGCAGTTTTGCCATTTGAAAAGCAGTTTTGCCATTTGGAAAGGTAGTTCGGGCATTTGAAAAGCAATTTCTGTCATTTGAAAAGCTTTGCCATTTGAAAAGGGAGTTTTGCCATTTGAAAAGGTAGTTCATGCATTTAAAAAACCAAGTTCTGCCTTTTGAAAAGGGAGTTCTGGCATTTGTAAAGTGAGTTCTGGCGTTTCAACACTAGGTCCTCTGGCAAGAATGGAACCCGCGATCCTGCAAATTGTTTTAATCTTTTTCAGTTCCTTCAAACAGAAATCATGGCAAATGTTAAAAACTTACAAATTTTGAATTGTTCTCCAATTGTGTTCGCATTGATTATTCCTTCTAGAATTTCAGCGTGAGTTAATGGTACGTTCCCCTAATTTATAAAAAGAACAAGCATCATCATTATACTGTACAAATGTGGGTTTCGGTAGAAGCACCATCGTACAGCTGATGGTGGTCAACCTGCAGTTATCAGAGTGACAAAATAATGTGAATTCGTTTCATTATAAGTAGTAACTCCATGTCTTCTATCGTAAAATAAAAGTAAAGTAAAATAAATCGAGTTCACTGATTGAAGCTCGCCAATAAACACGAAAACATTTATAAACTCCTCAAGCCAAAATAAATCTGATGTAAATGTATTAAAGCATGCATAGCTACCTTCCCCTGTTTGACTTCAGACAATGTCTGTTGATACCAATCGCCGTTTTCTGCGATCACTTTATTCAATTTCGCTCGATCGTTTAACAATGCTTTCAGCAGTCTGTTCAAGTCTTCACTGTCAACAGCTGCATTGATTTCTGCAACTGAAGAATGAAGTAGACATATTAACTCTCCACGGTTCAAACAATATTGGCCAAATTTGCAGTAGAAACGGTCCAAGCCTTAAAATATCGGTCGGTCATATAGTGCCCAATCCATTCGTGAAATTGTCCGACGTAGAGAGGAAACCAGTGAACATTTTGTCTGACCTAGGTGTATTTAAAGTTTGTTCGTTCACTGCAACCAGGTATATCAATCATGTTTCGCTCGCTACTCTGGTTTAAATAAATGATTACAAAGCCCAGTCGGATTGTAATCAAGACCCAACGTTTCGACACTCCAGTCTATCATTACTCTTTCTCCCGAAGACCAAAATCCGCCATTTTGGGGGGTACTGCCTGCCCTCGTGAAAGTTTCTAGACAATTCAAACAACGTGAAAGGCGACTTTTAAAAGTTGTAACTGTGAATTTACCATTATACAAACAACTACAATAGTACAATACTAAAAAGTTGTATTTCGTAGTGCGGACCGAACGTAGGACCCCCAAATGGCGGAAAATCGATCGTGAGAAAGGTTAATTGGTGTCCGACCAAACTGGAAGTTCGTCCAACGTAAATCAAAGTGTACCCTAGTCCAGGACTAGAGGTTCGCATGTTAAATGGAAAATCAGAGTAATGTATAAAAAGTGAATTGGAAATGTGTAAACAAATGCGGGGTTTTTCACCGCGAGGTTCGGAAATTCATTGCCAAGATCCAAATGACTTCCAACTTGTGGAAGTCTGCATTCATACTTATTTCCGACCCAAACTCATCGAACATTTTGTCAGACGGTTCTCTGAGCGATATTTTAAGGCTTGACGAACTACACAGTCACGTAAAAATCTCACAACTTGTCAACAAGATGTGTTCGCAACAGGCTTGTGGCAAGCTTGTCAACAAGTTGTAACAACGCTGTTATTTTATAAGTTGCTACAAGGTTGTCACTCACAACTTGTTGACAAATTGTTGAATTGTGGAACGATAACAAGTTGTTGGAACAACTTGTAACAAGTCTGTTGAGCTCAACAACCTTGTAGCAAGTTGTCAACAAGCTGGGCCGGAACAAGCAGTGCGAACACATCCTGTTGATAAGTTGTTGAAACAACATTGCTACAAGTCTACTGCAGGTTTGTTACAACTTGTGCGTTTTAACCGTTGCATATACTACATAGTTAGTTCATCTTGACGGTTGATTAGTTTTATGACGATATTAGAGACAAATTATCAGCTTGGCAACGGCAGAAAAAAACGAAATTTACCAGCATTATCGAGGTCTTTCTTGCGGACAATTTCGTTCGCCATTGCAATGTTCCCTTGTACTTCAGCTTGCGTCAACATTTTGTCATAAACATCTTCGCTTCCTGGCGACTATACGGAAAAAATGCAATAATGTATGTACGGTATAGAGCTTTGTATTGTATTGTATTGTATTGTATTGTATTGTATTGTATTGTATTGTATTGTATTGTATTGTATTGTATTGCATAGTACATAACTTTAAAGTGGCAGAAATACTACTTTATAAGCAGCTCTGATCTTTGCCAAGTTTCAAAATACTTGTATGCTTTGAACAATGGTCTTTTTCAATTCAGACACAAACGTCAGCAGCTTGTTGTACAGTTAAACTTCCTCCAAGATTCGTACATGTCAGAAAGAGTCAAATTCAAGGACTCCCAAGGCCATATATCAGCGAATTCAAGGACTAAATACTTAAGAGTGGGTGTTACAAATCAGTAAAATGTGACGTTGAATTGTTCAAAAAGGGCGCAACTTTAATGAATTTCAAACAGTTTTGTTAAATATTACAGTAGCATGCAAAATAAATTCAACAAAATGTCCATTTTGAATGTCAAACAATTTCAGAAAATATCCATAAACTAAAGCAAGATATATTTAAGGACTTTCAAGTACTAGCTTCTTTACACATTCAAATTCAAGGACATTCAAGGTTGAGATATGTATGACCATTTAATAGCAAATTGGCTAGTGCATGATTTTCTTTTCACTGCGTCCTCTTCAAGAAAGTTTAAGGGTATTTGAGACTGCAGGAATTTGTATGTAGCATGCATAGTGTGCTCACTAACCCTGAGCAAAGCAGTTTGACATTTTGATCCCTTAGCTTTGTACAACAGATCTTGGTATTCGTCCATGTTCTTGACGTCAAGGTCCGTCAGATGAGCATTGGGGTTTCTCAATGCTTCAAATGTTTCTTTAGCAATGCCGTGGTCGATGGCTTCGTTAATGACAATGATGGCAGCATGCACTTCAATGACAGAAAATCATAAATTAAATTATAAATTTATATATGAACAATCTAAGAAGACATTACTGCTTGAGGATTGCAAAGAAGGGTGCCCCAAGAAGTTCAAAGCTTACTTCCTCAGTAAAAAACATTGACAATGACAAGTTCTTCTGCATAATATGCTTCTTGGTCAAAGTAGTGTACATAAGAAATTCACATTAATTTTGCATTTTTAAATACGTTTTCAGATAAATATCAATTTAAAAATAAGCAAAGCTTCATTCCAAGATGTGCCTAAATTAGCTTGTCTCTGCTTAGCTGGTCCTGTCAGTGAAGAGCAACAGGGGCAAGTGTCCCATGTCAGCTGCCCAAATAGAGCGGGGGGGGGGGGGGGGCACTCATTGCATCTTGTCAAGGCAATACTTATTTCATTTACATATTATACACTTTTGTACAGCATTCATTTTAATTGATGGATCATAACTTACGAGCAGCTTCGTCAACAGGCATCTAGATAACAAAAAAGTAAAAAATTGTAAAAAAACCTCTTGTGAATAATGATCAATCCCTAGGGCTCAAATCTTACTAAGATATAATCTCCCATTATTTAGGTACAGTAAGACCAATACAGTGTACTCTCTTAAGCAAATTAAACAACAATAACCCACCTCACTCTCCAGAATTCCTCCAATCTTGCTAAATGCTGGCATTTGAATGCCATATTTTTCCAGCTCCTTTCTCATTGCACTGATTTCCTCCTCTAAATTATGGAAATTGTACCATCAATATATAGACATTACCTGTATGTGACATTAGTTCAAGCCCAATGTCTCAATAATGAAAACGAGGCTCTATACCCAAGGTGACGTACTTTCTGCAAGCGTGTATTAATTTGAACTTAAAGCCTAGTTTCCATTTGGTCATTAGTTGTCGCTGGCATGACAAGCGGTAGATGTGAAATAGTCTAATATCAATAGTCTTTTTGTGTGCTATATGCAAATCAGTCTTAATGATTGCAGGGTTTTATAAAGTTTTGTTCACACTCTATTACATCAGCCACTTGTTGTGCCAGCGACAACTAACAACCAATGGAAACTAGGCT